CTCACTCAATATCAGAAATGAGTTGAATCTACTCATGTCTTTGATGACAGTACCTAACCACATTCATTTGTATGTTTATCAATTAATTGTGGAATGTTTCTGGGGGTAATTTCCTTTGGAGCACCTTTAACCATGACTTCTGGAGTAGACTGTGGTTGTCTACTTCAGATTTCATCAATCCTCACAAAAATCTAAGGTTGTTATATCAGGTAATGTAGAGGATCACTTGTCATCTAGGCACTTCCAAACTGAAACCTAATAATAGTTAAAAACCCATTTGGGTTTGACAATTTACCAAATCAGTAGACGAGCAAACGTGGTTCCTTAGAAGAGCGCACCTGACATGACACCTCTAGATGTTTTTCGAGGGAATATGTGACATCTGTAGTATTGTGGATAGAAAAAAGTGCTTGCAACTCCAGGAACACTTCATAATGTAAGAAAAAAAATCCACGGACTTCATTATTGTTAGGGGTGAAAGATACCTTCTTAAGTGAACTTTGTCTGACCTCGATATCTAGATTCGTTCAAAAGTTGAGGGGGAGAGTATTTACGTTCGCACTCTATTACGATAATAACTTGGTTCGATATAGAGGTTTTCTTTTTCAGCGGTGACAATGTAGAAGAAGCCTTTCTTGAAACAGCAAAAAAAATATACCAGAGCATCCAAGATGGTCGTTTGGATCTCAACGCTGCTGAATCTGGAGTACAACACAAGCCCTCGCAACCAGGTCGTAACAATTTGTCCAGTGATCAACAAGCTAGCAAAGATAACTGCTCTTGCTAGTTGAGCAAACAATTTTGATCCTTGAGAATCTCTCCGATTCCATTTTGTTTTAATACTGTACTATTATGCTCTGTTCTACGTTTCAAAACAAACGAAGGTAAAGATATTTATTTTTCGGCAATTTGAAGGAAATGATTGATCGTTTGGGGAGAGTTGATGGTATAAACTCTATTCAACTTTGACTTTTTTTATTATTCACACCAATGCTGAAGAAACTATTTCAATATCGATCTGGTGTGGCTACCGTCCTATTATGAAACGTTCCTTTGAAAATTCGAGGAACCATATCGTTCTGAACTGCAAAAACTCATGGTTTTTGCAATCATCATGACTTTAAGAAGCTAGTTTATTTTCTTGAATATTAATTAAAATTCTGTATCAGTCCTTCAGAAATTTCATTTGAAAAATATTATTTCAATATTGAAACGAGGTTTGAAAATAGAGCTTTACTAATTAGGGTTTCATGATGGTGGGAATCGCTTAAACTTCATATAAATAAGATATATAGGAAAAAACAGATGATTTGAATGTTCACTGCACTAAAAGATAACGTTTCACTTCTGATTTTTTTATGCCATAGTAATTACTATCTGTAAACTCTTAAGTCTATTAACAATAGTATCATTGGTATAACTAAAATCAAATCTTTACAGCCTTGTTATGAAACGTAACCCAACAATTGGTATATTTGTTTTGAAGGCAAAACACTTATTTTTCTAATAGGCAATACCATTTAAATATAAGCAGTTATTTTTTTTATTTTAGAGCACTCAATTACAATTTCATTTGATGAAATTTATTCCATTTTCGAAGTTTCAAATAGTATATTAGAGTTATAAACAATGGAAATAAGGATTTATCAAATAAAAAATTAGGCTGTATGAGTCTACTTTCGTCAATTCAATTTGCAACACTGTGGGGGATCACGCAGAAAAAAAAATACATTGTGCCAATTTCGATTCGGATTCAAGATAAGTTTGCCCTTTCGTGAAATTCGTTTTGGTTCAGGTTACCAGTTTAAATTGTTATTAAAACACGAATTCTAGATGAGATTTTTTTCAAAACTTTATGAAATATTCTCAAGAAAAAACTTTCCTATTATACAAAGATATTTTTTGATACAGTATACAAAGCAAGCATTAGGTAGGAGATTAGAGTCATACTTTTAATTTTTTTTTAATTATTTTTCTAACTTTTACTTTATAATCATTTGAAATGTTAATTTTTTGCCAGTGCCAAGTCATTTATGAATTGGATAAATTTGGTTGGAGGCTACCAGTAAGTCAGAAAGTGGGGAAGTGTTTCCATCCGATAGTCACTACAGGTTTGCAATTTGAGCTGATGAGTAGAGGCACTTCATAAGGGTAGAAGAGTTTAGGTTCACCAGTGTCTCAAAGAAATGAAAACTGTCCTATTTTTCGGCAGTTGTATATGAACAGTTCAATTTTAGTTTATTTACACAAGTAACAGTACAGTTACTGATAGCTTTGTCTTACTGTTAAATATAATTCAGGCTTATATATTTGATAACTTGGAAATTGTTATTGCATTGTTTTAGTGATGAATGTTTGTATGTGATGTATTTATTATTAATATCATAAATATCTAGTGAAATGAATGTACCTGATGGTTGTAGCTTCTTTCATTGATGTAATATCAAAGGAAGCAAATTTGTCTTTTGTCTATTATTTCAGCCATTCGATATGGTTCATTCCTTGGGATGGTATAGGCTTTGTATATAGACTCAAGGTATAGGAGTTGCTCAGCATAATATTCAAACCCATTTTTCTGAAATCTAATTCGCTTTTCTTTTGCCAAAATCTGGACACATATTGAAAGATGGAACAAGAACCATATCCAAACGTTAAAAACATTGGCACAGTAGAAGTTAGCTTTTACTGTGTCCTTGGTGTGCGCTTAGCGCCTCTGTGAATGGAATGCCGAACTACAATGAGTGTAATGATCTAGTGTTTTTCTCAAAATATTTTACATAAGACTCCCAGTGATTACACCATGGTATTTCTATCCATCTTGATATAACTTATATAACTAATTGGAATTGAAACTATTATTCTATTTGCCTTGTCGGGAAATATATATCATTTTGTATTCAACATAAGCCTTATGATTTATGATGACACTTCATCATAATGCATAATGATTTATGATGACCAATGTCATCTTGATTTCAAACAGGTTGGAGCCTGGCTCCATTACCCTTAGGACTGATGCTCGTTCAGAAGAATAAGCGGGTCATAACTGATCATGGGTGGCGGCATGAATGTCCTCGGACATCAGTACCGCCCTTCACGGTGGACCCCTGCCTGGCTGGTGTGTTTGGATGAAAAGATTGTTCATCTTTTAACGGGGGATATGAGGGCCTCATTCGACAGAGTGTCTGGCCTTCTATATCGGTAGGGGTCGTCTACAGCATAATCTATAGCTTCCCTGACTAACATGATTTATGATGATCCAACACATCCATTTTAATTTTTTAAGGTTACTGCTAAGATTTATTTGTTGGTGATTCATAAGTCGCGCCATAAGAATTTTCAAAATCATTTTGGTTTCTAGTCAACCCTGACATTTGTTTTGATTAATTCATTCCATAATAGATGGCGCCACTTCTGCATTATATATCCAAACCTTTGTACATTATTTAAGGATTTCTTTGTATATAGACTAGCTATATACAAAGCTACTAGGTTAGTCTCCAAACCCAACATTACTAAATAATTACTGTCAAGCTGCAAACATTGTTTTTCCAGATTCCGAGAGAGGGATAAACTCAGGAGGCCAACGAAGCAGAACCAGAGACCACCTCCGAGAGTCGCTATCAGGCGGCTCCAGTAAGTATAGAAATTCCTTAACTAGATTTCAAATTCACTTCATTTTCAGATTCACTGGGAAACAACACTTGCTCGCGACATAAAGACACTTATCTCCGGTTAGTTTTTGGGGACCCCATGCAAAAAATCAGTTAGGAAATCCACCATAAAAACAAACAATAGATTAGAAAGCAAAAGTACCTAAAGACTGACTTTCGACTAAAAGAGGTCAGATGTTAATCTTGCTGAAGTGCCTATCTTGAAGTTGAGGACCGCTTCGGAGGAGCGGGGGTGGATGGACGAGATGGGATATTCTGCACACAGTAACCGTGTGGAGATTTCAACTCGGGGCACTCAACTCGGGAGGGGGCAAGGGAGATTGTCCATCAAACGCCAGTCGAGAGGGTAAGGGAGCCAGGCTCCAACCTGTTCGAAATTCAGATGGCTGTAGACATTGTTTTTCAAGTGTGGGAGGAGTTATTTGATAGGAATTTAAATTTTAATTAATTGTCGCCCTTCTGGTGAAACTGATAACTAACTGTAAATAGAAATTTAGTACCTAACATGCTGCTGATTCGGGCTACTGAAATATCATTTTTTGTGGGTTGCCAACCCAATGAACTAGTTATTCCATTCAGAGTGATTTATATTATTTCCTAAATTGGTGTCTGTTGTACATTAGAGAGGCTGCCTGGTGGGAAATGAAGAATTCTATTGTTTTCGAAGAAATTATTCCTAAATTTGTAGAGATTGATAAGTATCATGGTGGACAATGGATGATTTTTTTGAATTTTAGAGTTTGTAAATCCTTTATTGGTAACAAAATTCACAAAAACGATCTGCCCGTGTTTTCTGCAACGCCTCACATTATATGTACGGACTGCCGTCGTAAGCTAAATAAGCAAACCTAAGTGGAGTTCTATTCAACAAGGCAATCGACTATCTCAATAATTGGATGTACTCTCAAAATCATTTCTACTGAATTTCTTCCAAAACACATCTGAAAGTTTTGCAAGCAAGTACGATTTTATTCAAATAGTGAAACACCGTCTTCCATCTGTACAAGTACAAATTCAACTTTTTTGAGAGTTCAGGCAACCGTTTGGATCTGGGACGTGCAGCCCGCATAACAGCCTCTAAACATTAACTCATCAAATTGACAAATGATATGGCAGTCTTAGTGAAACATGTGATATATTTTTCAAATAAAGTTTGTGGAGATCAAATCGTGAGGTGCAGTTTTTGAAATTTCTCAATTATGTTGGTATACTGTATCCATATTCCACATCCGCAGTTACATCAGGAATTTGAGATGATCTAACCTAACCTAAAAATGCTTTTTTTTTGTAATGTCCGAGCTATCATTTGAATAATTCATACAAAACTCGTTTTTAAGCATTTGAAAGTGCCACTATATCTCTTCGAAACTAGTTTTGAATTTTTCAAATAACTTTTTTTTGGTTTCAGAAATAAGATCCATTGAGATTTATTAAATTATCTTGATTGTCAATGTTCACAACCTAAATCCTCTAACTCCAAACTTCTTTAACAAACAATTCTAAACTCAAGAGGTTCAGGTATTAAAATTAAGGATTGTTGGATTCGGATTTTATATGAAAGCTGTAATTGAAAGGCTAATTTAATGATTTTCAGTCAATCATATCTTTGAAGTGAAATAAGATATTAAAAAAGTTGAGTATTCGTTTAGAAGAGGAAGAGTTGAAGGTACTATCAGATACTTAAACAAATTTTGCGTGAAGGAATTTGTGAACGACTATAAACTCGACAATATGCAATTTAAAAATTAATTAATTCAAATTATTGTAGAAAATCTTCGGGGCGCTACTTTTTTTCCATTGGTTCTGGACTTCTCCAAAGTTTTATGGTCCTCTTGTTATGGATGATGAATAATTTTGATATCAACTCCTGTTAGTTCAAAGAAATGATTTGTGGTAGTTAGTGACATTTGAAATACTATGTATTGTTAGCACAGCACAGGTAATGTATAAGAAAATACTCTGAAATTTTTTGGATAGGATTTCTTGTTTCATTATTAACTGACAATTATTGTTGCCTCAACAGCAACAATTTGTTCTATGTAATAATTGTTGATGTATTTATGACATCCTATTGAAAATAATACTAATGATGAAAAATAAAAAAGTGAGTAATGTACAAACTGTAACGGTTCCTTTATTTTCAATCGACAGGGATTTATTGTACAATATTCACTGCCTTCTCAATCTGTATTTGAAATATTCAAAATTATGCTATTGAATTTTTAGAAACAACTGATTTCCAACCAAAAATTAAGAAGACGGTATTGACTATGAAACAGTATACTTTTGGAAAGCAAAACATAAAAATACTCAATTAAAAAATCATGTAATTAGGAATGTAACTCAAAATGAACTATATTTGTCATTCACGGTGGTTTTCCTATCTACTCTATCAACAGTCATTCGTTGTAAGCAAGCGACACAAATGACTCGCACATAGTTATCCACCCGAGGCTTCTCCGCCATCTGGTTATCGAAATATACAATAAAAAATGACTAGGTAACTAAAAGTTTCACACTCGAGCAATAGAAATAACAGCTAAGTTAACCTGGATGAGTGTCTAGATTATTCTCGAGAATCTCTTTGACAGTTATAATAATGAGCTAGCTAAGCGTATAATGTATATAATATTCATAACAGCTTTAATCGTAACATTATCCATAAAAAACTAATTTGAACGTGTTTTAATGAGTGAACGGCAGCCGTTACTTCTATATGTTCTGGGAACGTTTCACCAACTTCCACATCCTATCAAATCAACAGGAGTCTGAAAATTCCGAAGATCCGACAGGATGTAGAAAGAAAATAATCTGAATTCTTTTCAATTAAATCAGTTATCCGACAGTTGTGCAATTGCGTCTCTCTTTTCTACGACTAAAGCTCTGTCTAATATAAGTTTGTTAAAATAATGTTGACCATCATACATCCCATTTGCTCCTGATATGCACCACTGTGAACGACCATCGTACTCAACTCGTAATTCCAAGCTTTCCGAATCTAACTTGAGACGAACGCCCAGCATTCCAATGTCTTCACCAGAAAATCTATTTTTGGAGTGAGGGGATCATTGCCGTATGTCTTGCAGGATTCTGTTCGGCCTAAGTAAAGATCTCCGTCCAGCCACAGACCGAATTTACCATCGCCTGCACCTATGCTGATGCTCTCGTTGTTGCCTTTGATGAAATATAGGTTCTCACCAGTCCAGTTGAAGACTTTGAATTCGGGAGTGAAGGAAAACAATGATGACTCGCCTGTGCCATAGAAGTGGTCAGAAACCTGGAGCGCACAGGAAGTGAGGGCACCGAATACCTGAAAAAAAAAAGTGATGATAAATATATCAAAAATCTTTTAGAAGTTTACGTGAACAAAAGTTGAAAAATACCTGTAGGTTCTCTACTAGAAAGTATTTTGTGGCTTTTAGGGATTGTCAACGAGATGCTTATTTGCTTCAGTTAACTGACGACCACTTGAAAAAGGAAGGCGTTTTGAAATAACAGTCCACAACTTCGAGAAATCTAGCCTTAATTCGTTTTTGTACCTGAGGTATAGGGCCCCTGTCAAATATATTACATTTTCTGGAAGAGCCATATGAGATATGTCAAGTGCTTTATTCTGAGGATCATTTGATAGCTCTCAATAATGTATCTAATTCATAGTCCCAAAACAAAAAATGAGTTTCAGCTTCATGTCGTCACTTATTGGTGACGCATGTGAAAGTCTTGGAAAAATGTAAATAATTACCCAAGAGAAGAGTAACTTACCAAAAGTACGGCATTTAGACGAATTTAGATATTAGTTACGACTATAATCGTTTCTAATCGAATGCCTTACAAAAAAAAATGAAACCGTAATACTGGAAAAATTTTCATTATCGTAAAAGTGACCTCCATATGCAAAGGTGATAAATTCTAGTATAACTTTTGTGAGATTTTTTTATATACTATAAACATATTGAAGGCAATATATCGCAGGAAATTACTGTACGGCCTCGAGTTTCACTTTTTGTGTAACATAATGAGGGGATCAAAATGTGGAACAATAATCGAGATGAAATCTAACCAGGGAAAAATGAAGAGATTTAATAGCAGTGATGTTGGTGAGATCACGAGTGATTCTTTTTATAAAGCCAAGCATATTCATAGATTTTTGAACTACAGCGGAAATGTGTGATTTATAGCTGAGTGTGGAGTCTAGGATCACACCTAGATCTTTGGTTTCAATAGCAGAATGTAAGGTACGATTATTAATACTATATTCGAAAGTGATTGGATGATGTGTTCGATGAAAGTGAAGAATTTGGCATTTGGATGCATTCAAACACATACCACTTTGCGAACACCAGTTAGATAGGCAATCTATATCGTTTTGTAGACACAATGTATCAGCTTCACTTTTAATTATTTTGAAACATTTTAAATCGTCGGCAAATAGCAAAGCTTCGCTTTCATGGAAACACCTAATTAGATCGTTGATAAAAAGGTTAAACAACAGTGGTCCCAAATGTGAACCTTGTGGAACACTCGATGTAACTGCGATGGTATGAGAATAGTAATGATTAACTAACAATTTGTGTTATTTCCGTGAGATAGCTCTTGAGTCACTGCAATATTTGCCCATCAACACCATATAAACAAAGTTTATGGACCAATAGCTCATGATTAACTTTGTAAAAAGCTTTGGAGAAATCAGTATACATAGAGTCAACTTGCAGACCCTTGAACAGAGCATCAGACAGAAAATCAACGTGGGTAATCAGACCCAGTTCAGCTGATTTTTTGTTGGGTCCCTATAGTTGAGGAGCAGTCATAAGTAAGGTAATCAAAAATGATGCTCTCAAAAACTTTAGGGATTGAGCTAAGAGAAATTGGACGATAATTACACACGTCGGATTTTCGACCTGATTTATATATTTGGGTGACATATGAGGTTTTCCAATAGTCTGGGAATTTGCCAGAATTATTAAATATATAGAAAAGGGATCGAGCTAAAATGAAGCTATCAGTCCAGAACCGCCATTAACGCAAAAACACTTGAATGGTGTGATAGGATCATTGTTCAGGAAATATACCATTTTACAAATATTCAGATTTGCTCCGAAATTTCCTAATCCAAGCAGTTATAGAAAAAGTGTTGTGACTTTTTTCAAAGACTCATTGAAGAAAATACATTGTGTTTTTTGGCAATTAATGTTTTTATTATAGTCACTCGAAAGAAGTCACTTCTTTTTAGTTAATAAAATAACTCAACCTTTTTTATAGATGTACAAGAACTACAGAAAATTCCCTGAGAGTGGTTTTTGGGCGGAAAATGTGGTTTATGGTGAATTTAAATGCCAAGTAATCATGCCCGTGTTGACAAACAGGACCCTCTCTGTCCATCCAAGCAACATAGTGCTCCAAAACATTATCATGCATAGTGCACGTGATATCCAAGACGAGGCTGCTTGTACAGAGTCGCACTAAGGAGCGGCCGAATTCTTATTTTTTTTTAATATGCGGCTGGGTATGAGATTTTTTTTAGGTTGAGTATAGGGACACAAATTAGCAGTTTCTTTATTTAAAATACCATATATGTACAGAGTACACGCGATAAAACGTAACCGACCACTCCGACACTATAACAATGAATTCCGCCAGCCGATTGCAGTTAAATCTGATTGGCCAGCGTAAGGTGGCGTGTTTATTTTACCCAATAGATGCAAATGTGCGTGGTGATCAGGCTCTGATGACACATCTATCTTTGTTTGGGTTGCTTTGTTTGTTGGATGGATATAGTTTAGTTACATTTTTCAACTCCTTTCGAAAATGCTGAAGAGCATGGGGATAATGACTTGTGAAACTGATAATTTTCAACAAAACAAATAATATAAATAGAGGTGCACTATATGTTAAGAGTTGAGTTTTAGCTAATATCTCATGAAGTCAGATACTTACATTATTGTCAGTGTCTTCTATAACCATCAGTATGGGCGACTCGAGTTTGTACATTTTCCTATACATCGAATTCAAACTGAATCCATGTTGACTCGTACTGAAGACCAGAGTCCAGGCGTAGCCTTCTGCTCTTGCAGGTAAATGCCTACATAAATTCTCTCGATGGTGGTCCGTCAGAATTTCTGTGGTGCCGATTAGATCAGGAGGGGAAAGGTCTATATCTAATGAGGGGGCTACCGATGAATAAAAGGCTCTGCGGAACTCTTCGGACATGGGCAGAACCTGCTTGTACAAAAATTATGAATTAGATATAATATTGAATGATATTTCTAATAGAGTAATTTGCTTGGTAAATGGAGGATCCTTCAATAACACAGAAAACGAAGTTCTACGTGAAAATATTGGTTTTCTCAACTGACCAATTCCAAGACCAGCTATTTTTATTTTATCAAACGAGTATAGAATACAATAGAAATTTATTTATACTGAACAACAAACAGAATGGTTTCCACTTACATAATGCACAGATTTTTTTAGAAGTTCCTTACATATAGTATTCATTGATACAGTTAAAATCGAGATAAAATATAACAATATAGAACAATAAATAATAAAATGACCAAAAAAAAATTCAGACACATTTGGGCATTCGAAGGAATTGTCCCTCTGTAATACTGAATATATTCAGTTCACAGTTCCTCACCATTTTGTAAACGAGACATTGTTGAAGAGGAGACAAATTGTTTGAGACACGAAATAGATTGTCTCTTCTTCTCAGTCTTACAACAGGTACAATAAAATCAATAGTACAGAGAATTTCAGGTACTTTCAGTTTTCTGAGAATGTTGAAAACAAAAATCACTTCCGAGGACTCACGGCGATCTTTCAATGGTTGCATATTAAATTCTTGTAAATTATATCGTATACGATATAAATAAAGGCCAGACATTGTATTTTCTGAAAAAGGGTGTTCCTAATAATCCTTTCAGGACTCTTCTATAGTATCAGAATATAAAAAGGTCTTTGGATTCCAAATGACACAACCATATTCCAGCTTAGAACGAACAATGAAGTTACAGAGTAACAAACAAGTATCGTGATTGAATTCACGGCTAGATCGTACGACAAAGCTCATTTTTCTATAACATTCAGATACTGAGTATTCAATGTGTCCAGAGAAACTGAACACACCAGTAAAAATGATCCCGAGATCTTTCATCTCATTGATTCTCTGTAAATTGGTGTGATTAATGAAATAGTCCTTGATACTGGGTGACTTCCTTCGTGTGAAACTCATTATTTTGCATTTAGCTTCGTTGAGAGATAGGTCAGATACTGAAAAGTAAGTAGATATATTATTGAGATCATCTTGAAGCATATCAGAATCTTCTTCGCTTTCGATTCTTCTAAAAAGCTTGAGATCATCGGCATATAGGAGAAATTGAGAATGCGCGATATATCACGAAATGTTATTAACAAATAACACGAAAAGGAGAGGTTACAAAATCGAGCCATGCGGAATCCTAAAAATTATATATTTCTACTAAATGGTTATTTAAAATTTTTCAATCTTTGTATCGTTTTTCAAAACAGGTAGTAAAGTTCATGATGACGTCATTGAAACACAAGTGAATTTAATGTACACACATCAAAACTTTTTCCACTTTTTGGTCCAACTACTAGCTTTGAAACAGGCAAATTTCCTGACAACATTGAAGTTGTCCAACTAATACAACTTCTAAAAAATATACGAGTAGGTACATTTCTAGTTATTTCAATAATACCAAAAATTGTAAAAACATTATTGTAAACTGTGTTTGGTTTCATAGATTAATTTATATGTCTACAACTTTGGATCTCTCAAGCAAAATTCAGATGGTATTCAATCTATATTTATGTAAGACGTTTGATATAATCAAATTGTTTTCATAACAGAAAAGAGGTAGTGTTCATGAGAGAGTACGAATTGGCAATAGTTATTTATTGAATAACAATCCAAAAAGAAAGCATTTGTGATCAAAAGCTGTCATTATAACAGATTATGTAAAAATTTTCAATGATTTGAACCATTCTTGAAATTAAATTCAAAAAAGGTATTGTACACCATCTTACTAATATAATATTAGTTATGATCTGATAACTGAGCATTTTTTCATGGACAAAGACGGTAACTTTCAGTAGTCTGAAGTTTGAGTGTGCAGTTATCATCCATCATTCACGTGAAAGTAGTTGTTTATATGAAAGTAGTTGTTTCGAGTGGGTTTTTTTTCCAGTTTGTGTGTGAAAGTTACTTCTCTGCATGATCTGTACATCGTTGTGAAGAGTTTATTTTGAAATTGAGAGCTTTTTTTCTTCCTTTGGAATATTCCTTCATTTTTTGTAAGAAGATGGAGAAGTAGAAAGCGAAAACCTTTCTTTCCCAAGGAATAAAAGTGAAACAAACCTTTGATATTGATACTTGAACTAGTTAAATATTTGCGAATAGCGATATCCCGTCTATTATATGAATCAACACATCCAATGATTTCCATAACTACCTTATTCAATTCATCCTTTTCCGAACGGTTCGTCTTTTTCTTCCATTTTTTGAAAACTACTCCCAACTTTAAAAACCCGGTTTGCATGTTTATAAACACACTCTTTGCAGGTCACAAACTGAATAGGAACAGAAACAAACTTCCGCGGTGGAGGTGAATTTTTGAAACCGTTCCAAAAATTCGAAAGAGAATCCGAAGTGCAGTTTTCTCGGAAAATATATTTTGGTATCGAAACACTAACTTTTTAGGAAGGAAGGGCTATGCATAAAACTAAATCTAAACACCAAACATCTAACTGAAGCCACTACTGTGTGAAATGTTTTCGGAGGCAGTAAAAGTCGCATCTATTTATAGGAGAAGAGAGTAAGGGAAAAGATCTGGCAGATTATGTACACATTTTCGACCTGGCTAATCTTCGGAAAACAACCCATTAAATGATAAATTTGCGAATAGTTAAGTAACCACAGGCGTCACCGGAAAAAGTGACCAAAGGGTACTTTACCATTTATGGTTCTTTGGGATGTATTTTTAGGCTCACGACGCCATCTAGAGACCAGTAGATAAACACACTTTGAAAACCATTACAATGACGTTTTCAAAACCAAAATATTACTGACGTAGGGTAAAACCAAATTTATTTACACAGGAAACAGTGCGTCACATTTCCTTAGCGCTTTATGCCACATTTTCAGGAATGCCCTTCTTTTAGTTATTGCAACTGTGGGCGCAATTCTATGAATACACAGCGTGACGATAAAATATACATTTTTCTTTTATTTCGACTGCAAATGTTACAGTTGTTTGAAAATGACTATGACATTACCCAAATCAATAATAACTATTAATGAAAAAAATGATACTGTTCCTTGTGTTAAAAACATGTTTCAACTTTTGATAGTTGGCGTTCATATGGGGATGACAAATAATAAGCGGAAAAAACTATTTCAAACATCCTATTGTAATATATAATTCAAATACGAACATTCTTTTTATTCGTCGTACAAATAATATTGCCTTTTTTGATGAAGATGGATCTACTCTGTGAATAATTGCAAGTTATAAACTTTTTTCATTATATGTACTACAATACTCTTGTGAGAATATATAACCTTTTCAACGTCTTGGAAAATTTCTATAATTAATCCACTACTCTAAAGTACATTTAAATGCAGAGCTATATTTCAGACTCTTCAGTGATGGAAGCTTCTGGAATAAAGTTACAAGAGCAACGTGTAAGATATCTAATAATGTAATGACACAAATTACAACTGAACAGTTCACTTCAATTACACTTTGTAATTATTACAGTTATTCCATTAGTTCACCGTCGCTTTCTTGGCTCTCGAACTATTCTACCAACTAACTTAAACTGTCTTTCAGTTTGACACTGTGTCGTATATAAACCACATTCGAATATTATCGTGAATCATTATCCCATTCCAATATTTTCTTGTTCATTCTTCATAAATGATTCGACTTGTGCCAGTGGTGATTCGTACGCAAGCTCGCCTTGTATCAATATTTATGAAAAGAGACACAATTGGATATCGATGAACAATATTTTTATTCACCGTTATGTACGCAAGTAGCAAAATCTGGATTTTCTTTAGATCTGAAAATTCTGAATTTGAATCAATTTCTATCTAAATAATGACCTGTTCCATTAACACTTTAATTTTTTCACATGTTTACGTTAGAAGGAAGTAAACATTAATGGCAGGCAAAACTTTGTTGAAAACAAGCTTTTGAAAATGAAATATTCAAGGAAGTACTTCCTGTCCACATAAAACAATATTGTATCTGTTTATTTATTGAGTAAAAGGTGATAATGGTTAATCGAAGGAAGTCGGCCAGTGGTGAATCAGTGGCGTACCAAAGGCATGCGTGTTTTCCGAAAATGCATATTGAAAATTATGGATGAAAATTACTAACTTGCCTCTACAATATGTCTCTATCGCGAATCTTAAAATAGAAAAGTAAAAGTAGAAGTTTCTCCATAAAAATCTACAACGTACTCATGAATTTGAATCAACATATCAGGAATGTTTAACCTTATTAATTTTAACAACCTTTATTTTCAGTGGCAATAAAATCTGGAAGGTGAAACTCTTGTCTGTTTATTTTCCTGACTAATATCATTACGAATAATGATTTGCTTCCGATAGGCGTTTGTGCAAGTTTCGCCACAGATAACATTCTTGAGGGTGCTTCTTGTCTGTTAAGTAGCCGGTCTCACTGAAATCAAGTGGGAGAATATCTACAAACCGGTTTCGGAGTTTTATTTCCACCCAGATAAATTAAACGCACCTGTAAAGATTTTCTTTGTAAAGCACAAATGTCTGTTGGAGTTAATCCAATATGCGTCGGGGTATTAACCTGGGAAATAGCGGCTTCTGACAGACATTTGCCATATCTAAGGAACGTGAAGTGAATGTTTTGAATTTTCATTCGAAATATTCATTATCTTGGATATGTAGGCCCCTCTACACGTCAGTATCAGACTATTTTGATTTCTGTTAGTGACATATAGGAATACTGCATGTATTAATTGTGTTTGTGAAGTGGAAATTGACAAAGAGAGTATTCATACTTTTGTGTTGTAAAAACTGAGAGTCGTTGATACTTTAGACACCGCTAAGTTAACGACGGGTAAGGAATTCGAAATTCGAAAAGAATATAGTTCATTAGAGTTAATATTTCTAATGATGAAACAACTGAAAATAGAAACCTGTTTATTCTCTAGAC